CAGCAGGATGCCGGCAGGGAGAACCGGGACACTGGCGAGGAGCCTCGGGCAGCAGAGCTGAGCAGAGGGAAGCAGAGCGCTGGTGGGGAGGAGCAGGATGCCAGTGAGGAGCCTCGGGCAGCGAAGCCAGGTAGGAGCGGCGGAGCAGGGCGCAGGGCAAGAAGCCCCAGCGTCCAGCAGGAGAGCCCGGCAGGGAAAACCCCAGGTCCAGGCTTGAGAAGCTGGAGTTGGCCAGAAGGGCATGACAGGGAGAGGAAGTCACGGGTGAAAACCAGGCTCCGCGAGAGCAACCCATTATCCCAGCGGGGAAGGGCAGTGATCAACGCCAAGACCCAGCAGGCAGCCGGGTGAAGAAAGAGGAGCAAGCAACAACTGGCCCAGAGCCCGGTAGGGAAGGGGCGACTCCCACCAGGTGGTGGGAACAGGAGTAATTAGCTCCTAACCTGCGGGTCCCAGGGAAGAGTAAGTGGAGGAGCCAACAACGAGTCTCTCTCCCATCCCAGGGAGGCACAAGGGTCCTGGGAGCTGGAGTCCCCTGTACTTCGTTGGTAGACACCGAATGCCTTCACCAAGAGTGAAGGACCTTTTGAGTTATCATTACCCTAGGCTGGGACGTGTTTAGATGTCCACAGGTTGGCCTGAAGATTAAGGATCAATCCAGGCGTGACTGACGGCCCAACAAACCTGACCCCACTCGGAGCGGGCCTCGCGGGTGAGAAGAGATCACACCAGGGAAAAGTACGGGGGGACTGAGCTCTCCCAGGCCGTGGATGTGGTAAGGGTGGGGTAAAGGGGAAGTCTGAAGCCCCACGAAGAAAGACCCAGGGCTACGACCTCTCTGGGACCACTGACAGGGAACTACCTCCCCCATCTAGCAACATCAAAGTCGTGGCAGGCGAGTAGGGGCAGCGCTCAGAACCATCTAGGTGGCCCTAGGGTGCAGTCTCACCCTGACGTCGCTAGGGAGGAAGGCACCAACCAAAAAGGGACCGAAGCCATACAACACCTACCAGCAAATAACTGGTGCATTGGCCAGGAACGATGAACCTACCCCAGGGCTCAGACAGACGATGGAGTCACAGGCCGGCTCTCCCTAGGGGAGGGGGTCCTGCCCCACGGGGAGCCGGAGCCTGGTCTTCGCCCGCGACTGTGGGGATGGCCTTTCTCTCCCTGCCGTGCCCCTCTGGCCAACTCCGGCTCCTTCAGCCCGGACCCGGGGTTTTCCCAGCCGGGACGCCCTGCTGGACGCTGGGGCTTCTTGCCCTGCACCCTGCTCCACTGCTCCTACCCAGCTCTGCCGCCTGTGGCTCCTCACTGGCATCCTGCTCCTCCCTGCCAGCGTTCTGCTTTCCTCCACTCAGCTCTGCTAGCAAGGCTCCTTGCCAGCACCCTGCTCCTCCCCACCGGTGCTCTGCTTCTCTCCACTCGGCTCCACTGCCCGAGGCTCCTCGCCGGCATCCTGGTTCTCCCCGCCAGCGTCCTGCTGTTCCCCACTCGGCTCCACTGTCTGTCTCACGCCGGCAGCCTTCGTCTCTCTCTCCTGGCAGCTTGGTGTCTCCCCAGGTGCCTTTTGAGCAGCCTGTGCTGCCCTCAGACTCTGCCCCCAGGCTCGCCAATCCACAGGCTTAGGCAGCTGTGCAGCTGCCAAGCCTGCATCGGCATCTTCTCCCAGCTGCTGCTCATCCTGGCCCCTGCAGTAAGTATCCGGGCTCACTGGGCAGGGTTCTGGGACATGCTGGGAGCGGGGCTTCTGTCTCCCCTCCCACAGACATAGACAAGGTTCTTTGGGTAAATCTGATATCTTTTATTAGACCAACTTAAATAGTTGGAAAAATTCTTCTCAGCAAGCTTTTGGGTTTAAATTGGCTTCGTCAGGCTGAGGAAGCATCTGGCAGTTGGTGTATGCTCTTCCTGGATGGAATGAATAGTAAAGAAGCCAGAGGCTGGGCTGGTAAGCATGCAGGAGGCAGTCAGTGAAGATATACATTGAGGAGTCAGTGGGTGAGAGAAGGTGGTGGAAGGGGAATGAATGTAGCTGGTAAATAATGGGGAGGTACCTGGGGAGTGAGATGTCAGGCAGGTTATAATACGTCATAAATTCAATGTCTATATTTAGTCCATGATTTTTTGTATCCAGGAGGTTGATGAAGTGAAGTTCATAGGCTCAGCTGTGAAAAGTGTTTTGTAAATTCCCTTTGAGGATTAGAACTGAGAGATTGGAAAGAGAGTGGTTTTCTGTGGAAATGTACCCCCACTGGTAACTGGGTATTCTTGTCTTTAATAGATTTCTGGTGTGCGTTCATTCTGGTGCACAGTTGTTGTTTGGTCTCTCCTACATATTTTCCATCAGGGCATTTGGTGCATTGGATGAGATATATTACATTTCTGGAGGTGCAGCTGTAAGATCCAGGAATACTGATGGTTCTGTTGTGGGGTGTAGTAATTGTGGGGGTGGTAGAGATACATTGGCAGGTTTTACATTTCTTCTGATGGCATGGTCTGGATCCATTTGGTGTGTTTTGGGCCATAGGAAGTTTGCTTCTGGTTAGTGAGGTTCGGTGCTTGTTTGAAGACTAGGATGGGTGGTTCTCGGAAGATCTCTTTAAGAATTGGGTCTCCTTCTAGTATAGGCTGTCTTGCATGCATACCAGCCCAGCCTCTGGCTTCTTTACTATTTATTCCATCCGGGAAGAGCACATACCGACTACAGATGCTTCCTCAGCCTGACAAAGGGTATTTAAACCAGAAAGCTTGCTAAGAGTCGTCTTTCCAACCATCTGAGTTGATCTAATAAAAGATATCAGATTTACCTAAAGAACCCAGGTATAGCAGTGAATGTAGTCTTTCTAGACTTTAGGAAGGCCTTTGACACTGTCTCTCACCCCATTCTCATTAAAAAACTTGGGGACTGTGGCATTGACACCTACACAGTCAAATGGGTCACTAACTGGCTGGAGGGCCACACCCAGGGAGTGGTGGTGGACGGGTCTTATTCGACCTGGAGGGATGTGGGCAGTGGGGTTCCGCAGGGCTCAGTCCTCGGGCCTGCACTGTTCAACATCTTCATCAGCGACTTGGACGAGGGGGTAAAAAGCACCCTGTTCAAATTCGCAGACAACACTAAGATGTGGGGGGAAGTGGGCACGCTAGAAGGGAGAAATAGGCTGCAATTGGACCTAGACAGGTTACAGGGGGGGGCGGATGAGAACAGGATGGGTTTCAACACTAACAAGTGCAAGGTACTGCACCTGGGGAGGAAGAACCAGCAGCATACCTACAGGCTGGGGAACTCCCTTCTCATCAGTGCAGAGGCAAAACAAGATCTCGGAGTTGTTATTGATGCCAAAATGAACATGGGCCGACAGTGTGGGGACACGGTCAGGAAGGCCAAACGTACCTTGTCATGCATCCACAGATGCATCCAAACAGGTCCAAGGTGATCCTCCCCCTCTGTATGACACTGGTCAGGCCACAGTTGGAGTACTGCGTCCAGTTCTCGGCACCGCACTTCAGGAGGGATGTGGATAGAGGGTCCAGAGGAGGGCCACCCGCATGATCAGGGGGCAGCAGGGCAGGCCCTACGAGGAGAGGCTAAGGGACCTGAACCTGTTCAGCCTCCACAAGAGAAGGCTGAGGGGGGAATCTAATGGCCATTTACAAACTAGTCAGTGAGGACCAGCAGGCATTGGGGGAGTCCCTGTTCCCCAGAGCGCTGCTAGGAGTGACAAGAAATAACGGTCACAAGCTGACAGAGGCTAGACATCAGGAGGCGCTACTTCACAGTCAGGGCGGCTAGGATCTGAAACCAACTTCCAAGAGAAGTGGTGCTGGCTCCTACCCTGGGGGTCTTTAAGAGGAGGCTGGATGAACACCTTGCTGGGGTCATTTGACCCCAGTACTCTTTCCTGCCATGGCAGGGGGTCAGACTTGATGATCTGCTCAGGTCCCTTCCGACCCTACCAACTATAGAACTATGAAACCTTGTCTGCCTCTCATCATCAGTCTATTTAGAGACACAAGTCTGCACGCAGTGCAAGTTATCTATGCAGAGGCCCCACTCTTAGCATACCACACTGGAGAAAAAAGCCAACTAGCATCAGTGTGTTCCGTTTTGGGACCTTGTTCTTGGCTCAGATGTCAGATCTCATGGAACAATTCCTTTGCCTGTATCTACGTTTTCAAATTCTGTGAACAGTCCTCTCTTAACCACGAGGTATCATGAATCAAATTCTCACCCAGCCCCAGAACTGGCATACCAGGTTTCCAACCAATCTAAGTCCACACTGATTTTTACAGAAAGTTCATATTTCTACTTCAAAAGAAAAAGTATGTTTCAGCCTTATCTGTGGAGTGATTGACCATTAAGCATAAGCTCAAAGCCAGAGTCAGAATTATTCTCAGTACTTTAATTTTCAACTTGAGATGTGGCTTTAAGTTGTGAACAAGCTAACTCCTTTTTTTTTTTTTTTTAAACTATTTTTATTCATTTAAATTTGTTCATACCAACAGCCTTCCAGGTTCTTAATTATGGTGTAATGAACAGTACGCATAAGCATAATATTGCACAGTGAAAACATTAACCTCAAGTTTGGAAACGAAAACTTCTGTTATTCTGGGTTTCTTTATATGAAGCCTTAATGATGATGCGTTCCCAAAAACCAGTCAAATATTACTTAAGCCTTGCAATATAGATACAGACACCTCCTTGACCTGAGAATGCTGCACTAACAAACAGGAGCATTACCAACTGGTTACTAAGTCCACCAAGACCTTGCTGCTCTATGGAGGAACAGCTCAGATGCTTTAAGCCTTTTGGATATGGTGGGATATAAATCAAATGAATAAGTCTCTCCCCTTGCTACTGAGCCAGCTCACCACTTGTCTATGCTGAAGTGAGGGCTTATCCTCTGGATACTGATCCAAACCAGCTCTATGTCAGGTGTTTTTGGGTAATGTGGTAACTTTATGGAGGTGATAAGGATTAAGAGACTGTCTTTTACCTGTGTAATGAACTGGTCTGATGCATCTTTGTATTTCTCCAGCACAGCCACGGGGAGGGGCTCCTCATACTCAAACTGTGGGTTGTAAGTGTAACAAGACTGAAAGAATTTCTCTCTCTCTGTATCGATATTCAGAGGCCTCAAGGCCACCAGCAAGCATGGACTCTTCCGGACACTGCCAATCTCCTCAGCCTTTGGCTTAGCAATATGAGGTAGAGAAGCTGCACTGCGGATCTGTGCTCGAGCACGGCCACTGCTGTTCACAGCACAAGTGCTCTCACTCCGGCGCATCCAGCTGCAAGGACTTGAGAAAGTAGGGCAGGTACCTGAGAGCCGCTTGACTTCAGGCCTCGCTTCTGAGGCCTTAGGGCACTTGGGCTTTGTAAGTGTTTTGGGTGTTTGGCCCAGACCGGTAGAATCTGAATCTGGAGCTGGTGCGGGGGAGAGGTAGGAATAGAGCCGCAATCCATTACGCTCAGAGAACTTCTTCCCGCTCCCCTTGCACCGAGGACTCGCACCCAGGACATGTGGATTCTGCTCGTAGGACGGCGTCCCCGAGTCCAGCACCATGGTCCTCCGCCCACACTCCCAGCGAGAGCCAGTGCATCAAACCAGGGGCTCCGACCTCGTCCGCTCTGGTGCCTGCGCACACAAACAAACGTAGGACTCGCACGGCTGACGCCGCCGGGCCCGGGGACAAGAACCGCCGCCCGGCGCTGTCACTTGCACCGACTCTCTGGCAAATGCCGCAGCGCCCTGGCGGGTCTCGCGGCCTGACAGCACTCGCAGGATGAGCCGGGTGGCCGCGCCCAGGAGCTCGGCCCGGCCCCCGCGCTTCCGTGACCAGCACCCGAGTGCGGGCCGGGCCCGACCCCGCGCCCACCGCCGCCTCCCCGGACAGCCTCCTCCG